GACTTCCTTCTGAAAATCGATCTGCCGCAACTCCTGGAACCATAGAATTTGGTGTCCAGTGCGAGAAGTTATTGCAGCAGGCTGCCGAGCACATTAAGAAATCTCAAGAAGCCATGATTGCATCTGAGAACAATCATTGACAACAGTCCACATTTCAAGTAGGGGAATGAGTCTGGGTCAAGGCTAGTGAGCTAGAACAGGAATTCGGCATTTCTAGGAAACTAATGCCTCAGTACTTTGGTCCTTGGAAAGTCTTGGACATTGTGTGTAGTGAATTAGACAGACCCTCGTACGTAATTCGAATCCGTAGTCACTTGCGCACTTACCCTGTGTTTCATGCCTCAAAGCTTGCACCTTGTGCTGAAACACAGCAGTTCCAAGGAGATCAATGCTGCCCCCAACCATGGATCCATGCGGACGTCTACAACATCCTGGAGGACAGAGATTTTCCCGTTCCCAAGCCTGTGGGCAGGGGAAGACCGCCAAAACCCATGAGGGAATACGGGGTCAGATTCAGGCATCATACATACCCAAAGGAAGACCGATGGTTCACCAGAGAGGAGCTTGCTAAAACAGCCCCTCAGATTGTGGCAGAGTATGAACGTAAGTTGAAGGGGAAGGCACCAGCTTAAGAAGCATCTCAGCGGACTTTCGAAGCTAAGGGGGATGGAATGTGAGGAATGTGTCCTCATGAGACCCTAGACAACATGCACATGTTCTGGACTGTGGCCCCCAGCAAGCCTCGTGCCCGTCCTAAGTGAAGGAGGGCCTGAATATCCACGAGAGGCCCTTATCTTAGCATTTCCAATGTGGGTATCAGACCGTTGCAGCAACCTGGGCATCTCCCTGGCTCCTTCCAGAAGCAGCAGCTGCGTCAAGCAGTTGAGCCCAGGACCCAGGTGGTTGCGCCCTGGGCACACGCAGTGTGAGGCCGACAGATCACAAAGTGGCCGCGGGCCAATGAGAATGCAGCATTGTCGTCACACCTGCCCCGCGGGCCAATGCAAACACAGCAAACACTTGCAGCCTGGAGGCAACCTGAACGTGCCCTTCCGAAGAGGGCCCAGGCCCTAAACTGTAGGAATGGGCCTGGGAGCAGACACTAGCGCCAGACCGAAAGCTACTGGAAACTTCCTCGGCCGGGCCCAGGCAGCCCAGCAGGGCAGCTACTCCCATATAGGGAGGAGGCCGGCCAGAGGCTGGCATTCTGGCCTAGGCAGGCAATGCAGACATGCTGCTGCGTTGCTGCGTAGGTGCCTGCATTAGCGCATGCTGGCTGGGGCGCAAGCGGGCGCTATGAGGTGAAGGGCGCTGCAGGGCAGCGGGGCGCTTAGCGGCCATAGCTGGGCTGCAGGGGCGCGGGCAGGTGAGGGTTGACAGTGGTCTTCAGAGAAGGAGGCGCATGAGGGGGTGGTCAGGGTCTGATGAGGGGAGAAGAGAGAACGTACCTGGTGTATGTGGGAGGTCGGCATTGGTGTTGACGTCATGTACATTGGTCTTCGACGGCGAAGTGATCTTGTTGCACGAATGTAGATAGGATAGATAGGCTGCGTAGAGTAGGCTGGGCGCTGGGTGCCATACAGTAGGAGCGACATTGGATACTGTGTTGGTGTGGCCTGAGGGCTTGGACATTGGCTCACGAGTTCATTGCATCGCTCTTATGTGGATGGAATCTTGGTGCATTTATGCTCCCTGCTTGGTACATGACTATCTGGACTTCTGCATGAGTGAGGTCGGCATTGGTGTTGACGTCATGTACATTGGTCTTCGACGGCGAAGTGATCTTGTTGCACAAATGTAGATAGGATAGATAGGCTGAGTAGAGTAGGCTGGGCGCTGGGTGCCATACAGTAGGAGCGACATTGGATACTGCGTTGGTGTGGCCTGAGGGCTTGGACATTGGCCCACGAGTTCATTGCATCGCTCTTATGTGGATGGAATCTTGGTGNACATTGGCCCACGAGTTCATTGCATCGCTCTTATGTGGATGGAATCTTGGTGCATTTATGCTCCCTGCTTGGTACATGACTATCTGGCCTTCTGCATGAGTTTGCAACTTGGTTTTCTGTCTATCGCTCTCGCTCATATTCCTTGCACTATACACAACTCCACAAATAAACAGCATGACTGTGCCAGGCGGTTTAGTCAGACTTTTGCCGACTTGCTTTGTGTGTGTTCATTGTTCAACTGTTTTTTTTCCTGTTATGTACATAGCAAAATGCAGTATATTTGCATAATTTATTTCTGTATAATTACTATAATAGTGTATATGTGTGCCTGTTTTTGTGTTTTTTTTTGGGGGGGAAGGGGTTGTTGCTTTCCAGCAATGTTACCAGAGTGGCCCGGGACCACTTGCCCGGGCGGGCCAAAAACGGAAAAAAAAAATCTTTATTTTTAATTCGGCAAAGAATTTCAATGTGACCCTGAGGCAAAAGTTGTTCAGTTTATTTTTCTGTACAACGTAGTGTGAGGAACGAGCCCTCAAGGGGCCCTATCAGACATCACATGATCTGGGCTAAGGCCCCCAGCAAGCCAAGTGCCCGCCCTAAGTGAAGGCGGGCCTGAATATTCGTCAGAGGCAAAATTTGACATTTCCATGTGTGGGTATTCAGGCTCTTGCAGCACGCCAGTTGGTTGGGTAGACGCGTGAGCCTCACAAGGTTGCGTCAAACAGTTGGCCCAGGCCTTGACAGTTGCGCCTGGGCGCATACACACAAAGCAGGGCCGATACATTGGGAAGCAGGTTGACAAAAGCAGTACTGCCGACGCACCTGCCTGGGAGCCCTGCACAGATGCAGCAAACAGGCCAAGTTCGGTGGAGACTCAGGACGTGCCCAACTGTAAAGGGCCCAGGCCCTCAACTGTAGGCTCGGGCCTGGGCACAGGGTCTGAGGCCCAACCGGAAGCTACTGGAAGCTTCCAGCCAGGCCACACGCAGCATCCAGGAGGCTGCCACTTCCACAAAAGGAGGAAGGCAGCCCAGGCCAGGCATTCTGGCCACTGCTGGCATTGCGGAAGTGCTGCTGCGCTGCTGCCAAAGGCGCTGACGGGGCGCATAGTGGTGAGGAGGGGCGCTGCAGGGCAGCGGGGTGCAGGCAGCCATAGCCGAGCTGCTGGGCGCCAGGGGTTACAGCGATCGGTCTAGTGGTCTTCAGGGAAGGAGGCGAGTTTGGGGGTTATCAAGGTCTGAGGTCTTCGAGCGTCGAAGTGAGCCTGTTGCGTGAACCAGCTGTAGGTAGGATAGTCGGGTAGAGTAGGCTGGGTGCCGAGCGCCAGACAGAGAGGAGCCACTTTGGATACTGTGTTGGTGTGGCCTACAGGCTTGAACATTGGCTCATTACTTCATTGTGTTGCTCTATATGGATGGTTACTCGGTGCATTTTGTACTCTCTGCTTGGACACGACTACCTTGACATCTGTGTGATTTTGCAACTTGGTTTTCTGTATATCGTTCACACTCATATTCCTTGCGATTTGGTATCAGAGTTGGTTGATGATCACCGCTTACCTGGCACCGGCGACATTGGTACTTGGTGTGTTGACGATGCTTCATGTGCAGTAAGGATACTTTAGCAGTGGTATGTGATAGGGGGGCCTAGGTGGAGAGGCCAGCCACTGGAAGGCTGTGGCGACAGCGGATGAATGCATGATGATGAGAGTATGCCGACGTGGCATTTTGGCTGAGGTGGCACTGCATTGCCTTGTGGGTGGTACTGCGGTTATTGACCGGTCATTGAAATGCAGGTCGGCCCAATTGGTAAGAAATTTGTGGTTGGGGGCAGCTATCTCCAGGTACGTTGTTCCCATTCCTTATCTACCCTCTCAATCTCTTCTTACCGTGAGGAAGTGAGTCCAACTTGAGTGTCCTCTCTTTGGTGAGGAGTCGTGTGCGCTCTACCTTGAAAGACGACATTCTTCCCGGTGGCGCATCTGGCAGGAGAGGGCGGTGCCTCTTAAGGGCCCTGGTCGAAGCACGGGTCACGGTCACCATGCCAACCCATGGGTAGTAGTACACGCAGCCCATGCTGCTTTGTCCATTGTGGCTCTTTGCTGCGATGATAGAAGGGGTGTGCGGACTGACCAGTCCTACGTGGACGCTCCCAGACCGTCTATAAACATTTCTGGTTGGGGTCTGAACTGTCCACTGGCTGTGATCATCGTCCTGATTGCGATTAAAGAATTCTTGAGGACTCTCGGGGGCTGTCCTTAAATTGCCTCTTGATCAGCCAGATCAGTCAGACGTAAGGCTCGTTGCATGCGAGGGTAAACAAAGGGCAGGACTGGTCATAAGCATACTTCTTGGGCACAGGGGTGGGCCGTGGTTGCACACCTTAGACACCGCAGCTTGATGATGCTCACAGGTTCGTTGGGTACAGGGGAAGGGGATTCCAATTGATAACTCAATTGTACATCACTATATTATCCATTGTGCATACTTCTGCTCATTATAGTTGTTTTTATTTTGATTAGTTGGTTGACAGATTGCTGACAACTAACAGACAGCCTAGAGTAGGACTGTAATCTACCATAGTCAGTTCTTCTCAACGCTTCTGAACATATTAATCAAGATAAGAAGTAGACTACAGGTAGATGGAGCCTCTCCCCCGGTGCTAGCGGTGTCTGCTCTTATCAACACCTCGAGCACTAGAGGGGGTTGTTTTTCAAAAAAAAAAAAAAAAAAAAAAAACTACAGGTGTACAGTTTGTGTAGGTGTTGTTGATGCTGCTTGACTAGTAGTCTAGGTAACTCGCCAGACGGATAATCGATTGTATTTTATTTACTTATTGATTTTTCTATTTATTCATCTCGAAAGAGACGTAAGAACCAACTAAAAACTTGTTGAAACCACCCAAAAAAAGCAAACACATATGTTACAAATTTGTGCTCCATTATTTGACAATCTGAGTGGTCTTATCAAGTGGCCTCTTTTAGGGGCCCTCATCGTTTTACTTATTCCTAACTCGAAAATACGGTTTAGAATCGGTCAGACGTATGTTGCGGTAGGTTCCAAAGAGGACATTAGTGCAGACAGTGCCTGCCTAGCCCATGAGCGGATCAGAGGGTCGGGAGAATAGATCTGACGATAGGAGGCAGACACGACGGGATACCGGTAGGATACCCGTTGTGTTCCAGGTTCTACTACCAGGAGACGAGATAAGGTTTGCGGTCGAAGCAAGGGTCCGCAATCTAGAGACTGCGAGAGGGGCAGCAGCGACAGCTGAACGAGCGTTGGCAGCAGCAGCAGCAGCAGCTAGCGCAGTAGCAATGGCTACCTCTTCAGCCACCTCTGCTGCAAACTCTATTGGTCAGAGTTTGGGTATGCCACCCAACGCGACCAGTTCACAGTCCATCTCCAATACGTCAGGAGCTGGCACTAGTCAGATGGCAGGTTCGCAGTTCAGCTCGCCACCTCCACGCACCCGGGAGCAGATGGAGCTCCGACAAGTAGAAAGGATTCGCTTAAGGCTAGAGGAGGAACTCAGACAGGCAACTAAAAGAGAGAAAGAGATTAGAGACAGGAGTGTCAGACTAGAGGGTAGGGAGGCAGACAAGGCTACACTAGAGGGGTTAGATGACTCGACCCTTAGCAATAATGAAAAGATTCTTAAGGCGAGCATCATGGTTATGCACGCATACATGGACAGTAAATTGGATACCATCCAGGACACCTTGGACCAGATCCTGAACGCCATGCACATCCCAGGAATCAAGTCGGCAGTCTTGCAATCGCTGCCATTCTCAACGACGACAGGCCCCTATGCCGCTCAGTCCGGACCACCACCAAGTGGTACATCAACAACAGCCCTATCTCAGACTGTTGCTTCTTCATCTTCTGGTCCAGCGACTGGAGCTACACCACAATCGCCACCTGTCCCGCCAGCGGGACAGCAATTACCTTGGTACCCCAAGACCCCCCCGAAACCACCTCCAACCTTCTCAGGAGACAAGAAGGATGAGGCTCTCGACACGTGGTTGAGAACGGTGCCAGTGTGGGTGAGGGCAAAGAGGACATTGGTAGAGGAGGAGGTGATAACTGCTACATCCTACTTCGAGGGTTCACCAGCTCGTTGGCTGAATGGATTGGTAGCTTCAAAGGGGTTCGGCAGGAATATGGGTGATTGGGCACAGACCTTCACCCTAGAGAGTTTTATGGACTTAGTGGAACCACGATGGCACAACCCTCAGCAGGCACAGATTGTCATTGATGGGCTATTAAAGCTTGATGTTAGGAAGTACAAGTCAGTGCGAGAGCTTACCACGACCGTAGAGCGCATGATCGTTGTCCCAGGAGTGGAGTACAATCCATAGGTTTTATTGACCATGTTCTTGAGATGTCTTCCCACAGACATCAAGAACTTATTGGCCAGCGAGGCTCGCCTAGAGTATCACACCTTTGAGACATTCAGTAAAAAGGCCCTAGACTTAGAGGCTACGTTGGGTAGTGCTCAAACCCCTTCTACGGACGGGAGAAAGAAGAAGACTCAACAGGAATGGAAGAAGAAGGGTAGTCGATTGATGATGGTTGATTCCGAAGGGAATCAAACTGAAATCGATGATATTTCTGAACTTGTGAAGGGTGCAGAGTTAGACGGCGAGGAGAGTGTTGAGGGTAGCAACCTCGGCGCGGTAGTTAAGACTAAGGCAGGTGGCCGCGGCAAGGGCGGTCAGCAAAGGAGTCAGGGGCAGGCCGCCAACCCAAACAAAATAGCAGCTTGGGTTAGAGCAGGCCTGGATCAAGAAGTGTGGCGGGACCGTTGGTCGCGAGGTGCTTGCATAAACTATGGCGAGTACGGCCATACGCAGTTTAAGTGCAAGAACCCGAAGGTCTCACAGAAGATCCCTCCTAAGGGTGGGTATCCTTCTTCTCAGACTGGGGCCTCTACGAGCTCCAGCTCGGGAAACACTTAGGGTTGGTAGAAGATGTAGCTGCTTCTACTCTCGTTGAGGCGGGTGATGTACCCTCCCCGTTTCAAGAGTTGGCCAAAGCTATTGACTCCTTAGTCACCCCGCAGACGCATCCGGACCCAACTATACTCTGTACGTTGGATGTGTTTGAAGCCTTAGAGGACCTTCAAGGTGAGTGGTCGGCAAGGGACCCTCGTGAGTCTTGGGTGGCATTGAGTAGAGGTCCTAGAGGGGAGCATTTCGTTGTGGAAGTTGGTGTGGGTGTTCGCAAGTGCGGCGCCTTCGTAGACATTGGCTCCACGCGAAACTTCATAAGTCGCGACTGCGTTGAGAGATTGTGCCTAAAGGACCAGTTGCAGCACCTTAGTAGACCGGTAGCATCTACTTTGGCCAACAAAGAGCGCATGATGGTGGAGGACTAGGTTAAAGATGTAGTCTGCACTTTCTCCTACCCAGGAGGAGAATTAAATAATAAGATATCTTTCCTGGTGAGCGACGATTTGCCTTTCGATATGTTGTTGGGCATGTACTACCTCGAGGTTGCCAAGCCCCAGTTTGACTAGGACAAGAAAGTGCTAAAGCATGAGTTGCCTAGTGGAAGGACCGTTAGACTGGCAAAATATAAGGCCAGTAGGTTAACAAACTCCTATGGATGCTTATGCGCATCAGCATTCTATAACTACTATAAACAGAACCAAGAGGAGGATATGTATCTAGTCTATGTCTCTGCTAAAGGGGAGGTCGTTAAAACACCCCCAGAGATAGAGACCATCGTCGTTAAGTACCCTGATCTGTTCGAGGAGCCCTCAGGAGTCGTAGACAGGGAGGTTGTCCATGCCATAGAGATCATCCTAGGTAGTAAGACACCTAAAGGGAGAATCTATAGGATGGCTCCGGCAGAGTTGGACGAGCTTCGTCGGCAACTGAAAGAGCTCACAGAAAAGGGTTGGATTCGGCCTAGCACTTCCCCCTTTGGCTCACCAGTCTTATTTGTTCCAAAGAAAGGGGGAACACTAAGGATGTGCATTGATTATAAAGATCTCAATACCATCACCGTTAAGAGCGCAGAGCCTCTACCACGCATCGACGACTTATTGGATAGGGTGCAGGGGTGTAAGTATTATACCAAGATAGACTTAAAATCCGGCTACCATCAGATTGCCATAAGACCAGAGGACCAGCACAAAACCGCATTTCAGACCAGGTACGGTCTGTACGAGTTTATGGTGATGCCCTTTGACCTTTGCAATGCGCCGGGTACATTCCAGCACGCCATGAATAGGATCTTCCATGACTACTTAGATAAGTTCGTCGTCGTGTACCTCGACGATATACTGATCTTTAGCAGGATTGTCGAGGAGCATGCTCAGCATGTAGACAAAGTACTATCACCCCTTCGGCAGCACAAGTATAAGATAAACGCAGAGAAATGCGTGTTTTGTCGCACTCAAATTTTGTACTTGGGTCATGAAGTATCCGCGGATGGGATTAGGCCCGAAGATGCAAAGGTGGATAGCATATGTGACTGGCCACGACCGCGGTTTGTGACTGAGGTCAGATCATTCTTGGGAATGTGTGGTTATTACCACAACTTCGTAAAGAATTATAGTACGATCGCATCTCCCTTGACTGATCTAACTCGACTTGACACACCATGGGACTGGACCAACGAGTGTGAGGCAACTTTCAAGCATTTAAAGCATGCTCTCACGCACCATGAGGTTCTCATGGTACCCGACCCGCAAAGGCCATTTGTTGTAACCACTAACACAAGCCAATATGGGATTGGGGCAGTACTGGCTCACCAGGAAGGGAAAAAGTTGAGACCAGCCGAGTACATAAGCAAAAAGATGCCATCAAAGAAGCTGGCAAAGTCCACCTACGAGAAGGAACTCTACGCTCTTTATAAGGCACTTGTTCACTGGAGGCACTATCTGTTAGGAAGGTTCTTCTACGTGAGAACCGACCATCAGACCCTCAAGTGGATCAAGACACAACCAGTTCTCTCCGACGCACTCAAACGTTCGATTGAAGTCATCGATCAATACGACTACAAACTAGACTATGTGAAGGGAGAGTACAACAAGGTTGCAGATGCGTTGTCTAGGAGGGCATATTACCTAGGTGCGCTGATTTCTGAGTTTGGCTTGTCTGAGGACGTTACTCGATCTTTGGGGGAAGCCTACAAGGAAGATCCCATCACGATGGACATCATCAACAAGCAGCAGGCCAAAGACAAGGCCACCACTGACGAGTTTGTGATGGTGGATGGGATACTCTTTCTTGAAAAGGCAGGGTTCAAGAGGTTAGTTGTTCCATCTAGGGAGATTTTGCGTCGTTTGTTTTTAGGTAAGTGCCACGACGCAACGGGACATTTCGGCTACAAGAAAACTAGTGCTAACTTACGTGGCTGGTGTTTTCAATCGTGAGAAGAGAGTATACCTTTTCTCTGCGATTGCCACGTAAGGGTTCCACAGCCGCAACCCTGGATCACACCTACAGTGGGCTGGGACAGGCATGGCCGCGGTCACATTCGTTGGAACCGAGTGGAGTACGCCCTTCGGGTCAAAGTGCGTGTGTGAGACTTCTCCTCTTCGCCGATTTCTCCATAGTAGATGCTGCAGAGACTACTAGATCATGGTGATTGCACGGCTGCCTGACCTTCGAACTGGATATGCTGCATCAGGAGTAGACGACGGCCAAGGAAGGGTATAGGGTGCCAATGACCAGAACGATGGTGATTACCGGCGCGTAGGAGGTGGAAGAGCTTTCCATGTCGCGAATTGAGGGAGGAGATTGAAGAGGGATTTCGAACACGAAGCAAGGGCGAGATCGAAGAAGAAGGTGGGAGCTAAGGGAGGTACCAGGTGCGAAAACGGAGGAGGGTAGGGAAGAAGGCAGGAGAGA